AGAGAGTTGGACAATGACTAAGGAGGATAGAAGGAGAATTGATGCCTTTGAGCTGTGGTGCTGGAGAAGAGTATTGAATGTATCATGGACTGCCAGGAAAACAAACAAATTCATCCTGGAGAGGATTAAACCAAACAACTCCTTGGAGGTGTTAGAGAAGAGTATTGAGGGTACCATGGACTGCTAAGAAAACAAACAGATTCATCCTGGAGAGGGTTGAACCGGGCGGCTCCTTGGAGGCAAGGATTCTGAGGCTTCGTCTGACATACTTTGGTCATATTGTAAGGAGAGACCGGTCCTTGGAGAAGAAGGACATCATGCTTGGGAGGGTGGAGGGCAGGTGCAGGAGAGGAGGGTCCTCTGGGAGGTGGATTGATTCGGTGACTGGGGCAATCGGGATGAGTGTGTCACAGACAATTGAGATTGCCACAGGACAGAGCAGAGTTAGAGCTGTTGTACATAGGGTCTCTATGAGTCGCAAGTGACTCTATGGCACATAACAACAACAACAACATTCAAGCATATTCAGGAAGGGTATGGAATGAGGACGACTTTTGTTCCCCTGTCCTGATACATCCTGAAAGCTCAGTAAGTACTTACTGAATTAATGAATGAGTGAGCTGTTACTACCCTCTGCATCCCGAGTCAGCCTCTGCTGTGGACCATACATCAAAACTTAAACACATTTCTCACACCTGCTAAGATTATCTAGCATTCTGACATCCTCCTAAAAGAATGGATTTGGAGTCAGAAATTACTTTTAGCATTTGAGAGCTAGAAGTAAGATTAAGTAGCATGTCTTACAACGGCCTGATTTTACTGGTGAGGAATGGAAACCCAGAGACCTTTGTGAGACCTTTTCAAGACCACCCTGGCCTCTACTGTGTAGAAGTAGCCGCCTGTGCTGGCCTGCCTTATTCTGGTTAGTTTCCTTCTTTTGTCATTGTTGCTGGATGCCCTTGAGTCAAGTACGACTCACAGCAACCATATGAGCAAGAGGTCAAAACTTTGCACTGTCTTTTCCCATTTCCACGATCTCTGCGATATTTAAGCCCATTGTTAGTGTCAGTGTGTTAACCAGCTCTGGTCTAAGGGAGAGCTTTAGCTTCTGGTTCCACATGGGTGATGAAGTGAATCCACACAGCTCAGGAGAGGCACAACCCTAGACAGACAACCAGCCAAGAAGGCGACCATATGTAAATGAATAGATTGTGACTTTCCTCCTGGTTGGCTGACGAGGCCCTGATGTCACACTGCATGGATTTTCAGCGACGTCACTGAAACGGCTCTTGGCTCCCTGCTCTTCTATCAACTTGGAAGAGACCATGGAACCACTTTACCAGGCGGGGCCTATTTTCATGAAGGTGAACACCTTACAAGGGAAGAAAATGGTGGAGAGCGGTCTCCAGTCTGGAGACTTCTCGCTGCCCCAGTCGTGGCCCTCCTCCTGCGTCCCACCGTCGCCCGACTTGGAGCTCCTGCAGCAGAAGGTGGCCGCGGTGCAGCGGGAGCTGGAGGACTTCAAGAAGGAGGCGCTGCAGGCCATCCACTACTTGGAAGACGCCTTCTGCGAGATGAACGGGGTGCTGGCGCAGCAGGAGGAGCAGGCGGCTCGCGTGAAGCAGCGGCTGCGGGAGGAGGAGGACCGCGGCGTCGTGCGCAACAAGGTCCTCACCTTCCTGCTGCCGCGCGAGAAGCAGCTCCGTCAGCACTGCCAGCGGCTGGAGTACCTGCTCCTGCGCCAGAGCCGCGACTCCCTGGGCGCCCCCAAGAAAATCCAGGCCAGCTGAAGCTCCTGGGTGGGCCCGGCCACCCCCCAGTGCCAGATATTTTGTAAATGGAAAAGCAAATCCAAGTCCCCACCCTTCCCCCCCCCCATTTCCAATGCTGTGTACAAATAACACCCGGTTGAGAGACCGAAATATCCTGTGAATTCTTTCTGGGGGCTTCCATCCGAGGCGCCCCATACCGGCTACCTGACGCTTGGAACTTACACCTTTCTTTCCATGATGGTGATAGAACTCAAACGTGTGCCAAGGGAGGGGGGAGGTTCTGGTTGTTTTCTTTTGTGTTTTAAAAGTGTTGAACAGACTTGATCTTTTAATGAACGACCCAGGGCTTCATGTCACTTAAGCAGTATGCACTGAGAGGAGTTGGCACTTTGTCAAGCACTGGATGGCCCCTCAGTGCTGTGCTTTTGTAGATCTTATCCTCGTTTATGGGAGCGCGGATGGCGTAGTCTGGAGAGAGTTGGCGGTGTGAACTCAATGGCTGTACCTCTTTTGGTGGTTCGAATCTACCAGCAGCTGTGTGGGAGGAAGATGGACAGTCTCCCTCTGAGCTATTTACAGCCTTGGAAACTCAATGGAGGGTCAGCTGTGAGTCGTGTTCCTGCTCACGGACAGGGAGTCTTTGAATGACTCTCCTCCTTGGTGTTGGCTTTCCTGCCTGGTATCAGATGCCCTGCCGGCCTCTTCTATGCTGACTTTTCCTGCCTTTATGCTTTCTCCACTTACTGTGCAGACAGGAAAACCAGATTGAGGGAGCTCATCAGGACCCTGGGAGTGGAGTTTGCTGAGCTTTAGGACACTCACGATGTGACATCATGAGGTGGGACTACAAAGTGATGACAGAGTCTCCCGTTTGGGCCCTGAACGGTGATTGCTGTGCCAACATTTGCCAACTAACTTCCACACGTCATCACATCGAATCACATGGACCCTTTGGAGGCAAGTGTTGTCTCCCTGTTGAATGTGGGCAAACAGACCTCAGGAAAGCTAGTCTCCACACTGGGCAGTGAGAGGCTGTGGTTCAAGTCCGTGTCACTGGCTCCTGGCCTGTGCTTGCTTGCCCCACCATGCTGCCTTCCCTCCTGGTTTTGGAGGCACACTTGACCCTGAGCCAGGCTGATGGGCTAGTCCTTCTTGGGGATAGAGATCTTAGGCGTCACTGCATTTTTTAGGTCTTCATTGAACCTCTGCTTCCTAGACTCACATGCCTTCGCTCGGGCCCCCTCAAATGTTACCTTATAGCAGGAATCTATCCAGCTCAGTCATCACAACTCATTACAAACTCTCTGATCTGCTGTTTCAGCCCCATCCTCCTCGCTCCTCTTTCAGAGAATCTCCCCAAACAAGATTTAATTGGCTAGCTGTAAGGAGAGGTTAAAAGTGAAACAAAACTGAAGTGTGTAGAGGAAACTGGATCTAACACTAAAACCCAGGGAGGAGGATTTGAGCCAGCTGCAAGCTCAGCGTGTGACGGCGGGAATTCCGAGGCCAACTGATGCCCCGAAGGCCACATCTGGAGTCACCTCTGTTTAGTCCTTGACCAACATTTTAAGAGAGTTCCAGACAATGGCCTCATTACTGGTGAGATTGTGAGTATAGATAGCACAGGAGAGGGCAAGGTTCTAAACTTTTGGTCAGAGGGTTGCTGTGAGTGATAGTCAGAGGCACATGAAACAACAATACATGGCTAAGAATATTGTCCAGAGGCTGGAAACAAGCCAGGGAACTGCAAGGAGTGAGGACTGATTGAAGGACCTGGGTTCCTTGGCAGGAGGCATTTTGATGGGAGACTTGATTATGGTCTTCAAAACATTGGAAGAGTTGATTGTGTTTAGGAGGGACTAATAATAGTCATCCCTCTTTTCCCCTGTCTATGGTAGGGAGCAGTTGAGTGATAGACATAGGATTCAGGCTGTTGGAGACAAAATACCACCTTTACTGCTGGTAAATCTGCTTGAGATGATGGTTTATGATCTGTTGGCCACACAGACTTGCTAAGCCCTCCTCTCTGGGGTTAACACTGTCTCCAGACACAGGTATCATCAGTGGTGACAGCTGCAGACCCCTTGAGAGGCTGCCATACAACTTATGAAGTAGAGGGCTGGGTAGGAGGCTTTACTCTTTGGAAGGGTAAATTTGGGACAAAGGAAAAAGTGAGCAAGAGCTGATTGTTCTCCCAAATCTGCCAATCAGAAATAATTCCCTTTCCTGGGAAGAAGTAAATGAGAAGATAAGCCCAGGAATGCTGCTTGAGGGAAGGTCCCTCAATGATGAGATGAGAAGAATGGGTGACAACTCAATCCTCGACAATGAGATTATCTGTTTGATTCCAAGGCAGTTCTGGTGGCATAGGGGTAAGAAGCTGTGCTGCAGTCTCCAAAAGACACAGTTCAAATCCACCCACTGCCCTGTGGGGGAAGGATGGGTAGTCTCTTCCAATGTATGTGTTACCTCTGAAAATCCACTGGATGGTTCAGTTCCGACACAAAGCAACACAACAACAATAACATATGATTCCAAGGAATAGTGCCAGTGACAAATGATGGAAACTACAACAAATGAATTTCAATCTTAAAGAAACAAAATTAGTACTAGTTACTGGTCATGTATCTAGCCAGCTAAAGTGTTGAAAGTCCTGCATATTTGAAAGGTTTGACCCTGGCCTACCTCCTGGGAAATAACCTGAAAGCCCTTGGAATAATATGCCTGATTAGACTGTCTGCTAATCCAGGATCTTTGACCATATCAGATATGTTTGTCCTTACAACAAGAAGGTCTTGTGTGTGTGAGCTCATGCTAACATGTGCGTGCACAAGGCTGTGAGAAGCAGGAAATTGGGTCTGGGGATTAGGGAGGGAGAGTATTAAGGTCCTTTAAGAGAAACAAAAGTAGTGAAACACACTCCTGTGTGTGTATGTCTGTGTGTAGATAGATGAATAGAGATTTACTTTAAAGAATCAACTTACAAAGTTGTGAGGACCAGCAAACTTGAGATCTATAGATTAGGCAGCAGGCTGACTCCTGAAAGCTTGTATCCCAGGATTCATAGGTTGCACTATGGAAAAAGCGTACAATGAGGAGAGAGAGAAAGTGTGCTCCAAAAAGGTCTAATCATCTACCCATAGTTTGGAGAATCTGGAGCCAGAATACATCTAAGAAACGCCCTTTTCAACTGATATTTTCCCTTACATTAGATTACAGGTTGTTGCTGCTAGGTGTTGTTGAGTATGACTCATAGTGGCCCTGTGAAAGGCCAACCTGAAACCTGCCCTAGCCTGTGCCATCCTCGTCATGTCTGAGACCCTAGAGGCATTAGACACTAGAGACACTAGAGGTAGCCCTTGGTTTATGGTGAGACATATGCATATGTATGCTTGGAGAGAGAAAACAAGAGAGGAAGAGAGGAGAAGGTTTGTCTAAGGAAATGGCCCACATGGTTGCAGAGGCTGGCAAGTCCCAAGTCCCTGGGTCAGGCATCAGGCTGCAAGCTTCTCCTGACTTGTGTAGCTGCAGGGACTGAGAGATTCAACGTAGACAAGTAAAATGACAGGCTGCTGGCTCTCAATATTAGAGGCTAATGAATCAGTAGTCGGAAGGCATGGGCTTGGTGACAGGAATGAGGCTGGAGATAGAATGATT